GCGCTGCCAAAGGCCCACAAAAATTCCCGTTTCAATAGCCATTTTCAGAGCAAATTGGAGAAAATCATCGAACATCTCCGCTCCCTTTTTGATATATTAGGTTGAACCAAAAGTTCTGTCGCACCACATTCAAGAAATCATAACTTCTTTCGCTCATAACGGTTTCGCGCAAATCAAATTTTTTCAGAAAGCGTAAAGCATGTAGTTTCCAAAAGGGCTTTGGGAGCTTTCCAATATGCTCATTTTGCAGAGATAAAAATGAAAGAACGAGATCATCCGAAATTGGGAATTTTTGAGCAAAAATTCTAAAATCTAAAAACTGGGCGATTAAATCCAGAACAGCCACCATCTTATGTTTTCTTATATTTTATTAGTAACTGGGTCAAGTTTATGCTGAAACTCTTCTTTCAAAAGTTATGATTTTTTGAAAAAAAAATGCCGATAAATCGATTTCTTAAGAATCCTTAGGAAATTGATTTTTCGGCCTTTTTTTTTCAAAAAATCATAACTTTTGAAAGAAGAACTCGATCAGCATAAACTTGACTCAGTTAGTGATAAAATATAAGAAAACATAAGATGGTGGCTGTTCTGGATTTAATCGCACAGTTTCTAGATTTTTAGAATTTTTGCTTAAAAATTCCCAATTTCGGATGATCTCGTTCCTTCATTTTTATCTCTTCTATCTGAGCATATTGGAAAGTCCCCAGGGGATCTCTGGAAACTACATGCTTTACGCTTTCAGAAAAAAATTTGAATTGCGCAAAACCACCGTGAGCGAAAGAAGTTATGAATTTTGAAAATGGTGCGATAGAACTTTCGGTTCAACCTAATATTTTTCTCCTAAAATCGACGGTGATCTAAGAGCTTTTGTAGTGCACTTGTAGTAAGAGACACTACTCTTTCTGGCGCTTCCAAAGGCCCTCAAAAATTCCCGTATCAATGGCCATTTTCGAAGCAAAAATGGCGGAAAACCTTTTCCGAGCAGCTCCCTAGCTTTTTTGATATTTTTTTTCTCTCTAAAATCGACTGTAATCTAAGAGCTTTTGTAGTGCTGCTGTAATAAAAGACACTACTCTTTCTGGCGCTTCCAAAGGCCCTCAAAAATTCCCGTATCAATGGCCATTTTCGAAGCAAAAATGGCGGAAAACCTTTTCCGAGCAGCTCCGCTCGCTTTTTGATATTTTTTTCTCTCTAAAATCGAATGTGATCTAAGAGCTTTTGTAGCGCGCCTGAAAGGGGGCCCTACTCTTTCTCGCTTCCAAAGCCACAAAAATTCCCCTTTCAATAGCTAATTTCAAGGCAAAAATAGAGAAAGTGCATTTCGGAGCAGCTTTTCCCGAATTTCTGATATTTTTCCTCTAAAACCAAATCTGAGAGCTTTCGTAGTGCGCCTGTAATAGGAGGTACTACTCTTTCTGGCGCTTCCAAAGGCCCACATCCCGTTTCATTAACCATTTTCAAAGCAAAAATGGAGAAAATTCTTTCCCGAGCATCTCCTCTCGCTTTTTTGATATTTTTTCTCCCTAAAACCAAACCAAATCTGAGAGCTCTCGTAGTGCGCCTGAAAGGGGGCCCTACTCTTTCTGGCGCTTCCGAAGGCCCACAGAAATTTCCATTTCAATAGCCATTTTCGAGGCAAAAATGGAGAAAATTCTCTTCCGAGCAGCTCCGCTCGCTTTTTTGATATTTTTTGTCTCTAAAATCGACTGTGATCTAAGAGCTTTTGTAGTGCGCCTAAAAAGCAGCCCTACTCTTTCTGGCGCTTCCAAAGGCCCACAGAAATTTCTGTTTCAATAGCCATTTTCGAGGCAAAAATGAAGAAAATTCTATTCCGAGCAGCTCCGCTCGCTTTTTTGATAATTCCTCTCTAAAATCGACTGTGATCTAAGAGCTTTTGTAGTGCGCCTGAAAGGGGGGCCCTACTCTTTCTGGCGCTTCCAAAGGCCCACAGAAATTTCCATTTCAATAGCTAATTTCGAAGCAAAAATTGAGAAAATGCATTTCGGAGCAGCTTTTCCCGAATTTCTGATATTTTTCCTCTCAAACCAAATCTGAGAGCTTTCGTAGTGCGCCTGTAATAGGAGATACTACTCTTTCTGGCGCTTCCAAACGCCCACAAAAATTCCCGTTTCAATAGCCATTTTCGAAGCAAAAATGGAGAAAATCCTCTTTCGAGCAGCTCCCTAGCTTTTTTGATATTTTTTTCTCTCTAAAATCGACGGTGATCTAATAGCTTTTGTAGTGCTGCTGTAATAAAAGACACTACTCTCTCTGGCGCTTCCAAAGTCCCACAAAAATTCCCGTTTCAATAGCCATTTTTGGAGCAAAATTGGGAAAATGCATTTCGGAGCAGCTTTTCCCGAATTTCTGATATTTTTCCCCGCTAAAACCGAACCAAATCTGAGGGCTTTTGTAGTGCTTCTGTAATAAAAGACACTGCTCTTTCTGGCGCTTTGAAAGGCCCACAAAAAATGGCCATTTTCGAAGCAAAAATGGCGGAAAACCTTTTCCGAGCAGCTCCGCTCGCTTTTTTGATTTTTTTTTGTCTCTAAAACCAACTGTGATCTAAGAGCTATTGTAGTGCTCCTAAAAGAGGGGAGAGTGCCCTTTCTGGCGCTGCCAAAGGCCCACAAACATCTAATTTCGAAGCAGCTTTTCCCGAATTTCTGATATTTTTTCCTCCGTAAAACCGACCCAAATCTGAGAGTACTCTTTCTGGCGCTGCCCCTGGCGCACTATCGAATATTATTCGAAATATCAGAATTGAATAATCCATTTGAATCATCCTAAATCGAATGGTTTATTCGAATAATCGAACATCCATTCGATTTGGTGTAAAGTATTAGATCATTCCGAAAGTAAGTTCGCTTTTTTCAAACGGACGCTACATGTGATGAAACAAACATCTCTGAGAGATCTTGGTAGCATTCGACGCAGAATTTCATCCTCTTTCCAAAGGTAGTGAAATAGTTGCAGCTCACTCAATGTGCTTTCGGAAAATAATTTTTCAAAACTTTCATATCAACCCTCAGAAGGAGTTCAAGTAGCAGCTAGGTAGAGCAAATCTTATAAAGTCCAGGACAACTTGTTCCTCTTTTTCATAGCTCGCGGTAATTTTTTGATTTTTTTTACCAAAACCATCATTTTGGCAGGCCTACATCAACCACAATCACATCAAACATCAGTAATTACTCGGAATTTGAAGCTTCCAAGGAAATATATGACCTAATTTCAATTTTATAAAGCAAATGAGAGTTGGCGGATTCAAAATACTGAACTTCGAGTTTTTCGGGTTCAGCCTTGGGCGCGTTTAAAAACATGATCTATGACGATTTTAGCCCCGAAGACTGAACAAATCGGGAACAAAAAACATCTATTAGAAAGAGGAGAAAAAGCTGCATCAAACAGCGCCCAAGCTGTTCTCTCATTGATGTTCTACGAGATTTGAGTTGACCAAGAATGGAAATTGGTAGCATTAGTTGAAATTTTATTAAAAAATTTCGAGGAAGTATGCGAAGGAGAAAAAAATTGTTTTGTATCCTACAGGGTTTGCTCTATCTAATCTTTACCTGAACTCCCTCTGAGAATTGGTATGAAAGTTATGAAAAATTGTGATACTTGACCATCTCAAAAGCATGGGTCGCAGGTTCTCATTATTTTCCGGAAGCTCAATGATTGTGCCGAGGCACTTCTAATACTATTATAAAGAGAATGAAATTCTGCATCGAATGCTCCCAAGAACTCTCAGAAAACGCTTTTCCCTCAGATGTGGCGCCCCTTTGAAAAAAGCGAAATTACTTTCGGAATGACCTAATATATTGAGAGCCACATCTGACTAAAGAAAAAACCAAACAAGCCCAAAAATTCTAAGCTAAGCTAAGTAAAGTCCCTGATTCTAAATATGAAGTCCACACTCCAGGTAAACGGTAACAGTCGTTTTTCCAGTGTTCGTCGCAACTGCGATCTCACCAATAAAAGGCTTTCAAAAATTTCAAAGTTAACTGAATTAGCATGCTTGGATTCCTTGCTACACAATTTTCAACATTTCATAAAAGATTTTTTTGTCAGACGGCCTATTTCACAATGGTGCTAGGTGCTGGAAATTTCTTCCGTGTTTCTACAGTAGCGAAGAGAGATTGATGACTCATTCTATTACATATTTTAAATCTAAAGCTAAGTTGAATCTTGCTCCTTAGAATACTGTTCAAAGATCGGCGAAATGTTTTGAAGCAAGAGGGTGTGTAACGTTCAAATAGTGTGCACATTTTTTCTGACACCTTATATTGCCTTCTGACGGTAGTCAGATCTTTGATTGCAATTTTCTTGCGCCTAGCGACATTCTAAATAATGGAACTTCATAATGCAGAATATAAATTTGATAAGTACAAATCCATCTAGATAATTTGGCCTTGGCTTGGGTTCCGCTCTTGCATGTCCTGCCTCATAACCACAACGTTATCATTCTGTATAGGCTTGTGAATGGGCTCAAAACTAGACTTGGATATTCACTCGCCCCATCGCACTTCCATTTCTGCACATATTATCCTAACGTCGATATCTATAGTAAGATCTATCCACTGGTGGACACCCCCCCCCTGCTCTGATCGAAGTAGCGATTGTGAGCTATGCTCCAAGAATATTAGCCAAAGACAATTGTCGCGGGAAAGTTGGACAACCTGAAGTCACAAAATTTGCTGTGTCAAAATCTAGTTTTGTGAATACTTGTCAAACATCGTTCACATATCATTTGATCTATCGACTCTCATTCAATGCCGGCCAAACCCGCCATCACCAAAGAACTTTTGTGGCCCGCTCTTATGCCTGTTATTGATAATAACTAACTAACGAAAACGCTTTTGTCCAATTTTTTATTCATAAATTTATTTCTATATAGTTTGAACTCTTTGTCTTTTGCCTACTCATTTTGCTAGTTCTCGTTTGTATCCATCTCGACTTATGGAATGTTCATGATATATCGGAGAGTTATCTTTTCCAGGTTCATGCCTCACAGCGGGCGAAGTCAAACGGCAAACACTCAAGAAGAAGTAGGTATGTGAACTAGTTTTTTGACTAGCTCGTGAACTTGTAAGGTGAGAAGATGTAGCTCAAGAAGTGAAGTTTTTCTTGAAATGAACTACTTGGACTATGCGTACAGTGAAAACTGTGAGAATCTCATCATCAAAAATTCGGGCCATATAAATCTTTGACCACATTTTACAATTTTATGCTTGTGTACTATGATTGTTCCATGTTGCTTTTGAGAGGGGATGTTTTTTCAAGCTCTTCCGTTCCTACAGTTTGGAGATATGTAGTGATTTAGGCAGTTTGAGACCTGCTTCTGAGCAGATGGTATGAGGTTGTAAGACAATGCGCATGCTACATCTAACAGCTATGAGAACAAAATTCTAAGATGTGAAAGAGTTGAAATGAAAAAAAAATTACTCTCCGTGCTTGTAGCGCTTGCTCCTTAGGCATGCGCCACATTTCATCCACTCTTAATCCACTTTACTTACTTCTTCCTGAAGAAAATGACCACTCGATCGATCTCTCTATTTTCTTTTTAAATTCGACCAGTAGCGAAGTGGATGAAGTAACTGAAATGGATCGATTGAGCCTGACGAGTACATACGAGGTACCCTCCACCCTAAGTTGAGGTTCTTGAGCTTTTGGCAGCATATGATAGTAGAGCCCCCTATCAAGCCAATACCCCAAGTCGCGATGCAATATGTCGCTTCGAAAGCGGGAAAATCGCTCCGGAATAACGAAGATGCACGAGGACCTCCAGACGGCACCGCACTCTCCATCCATGCCCGCCCATTTATGCGCCATCCAATCACCATTCCGGAAAGCGGCCTGTGGGTTCTTCGGAACGGGGATTGTTAGGGTTTTCGCGGATTCTCGACTTCATATTCGAAATCAGGTACATGAGAAGACCCTGAAACGACAAAAACGTGGAAGTCGAGAATCTGGGTGGGCGGTGCCTTAGGGTACATATATATAACATAAAAAGTGGTTCTTTCCTTTATAGTTTTTTGCCTCTTCCCTGCAAAACTGTGCACCCTTTGATGTCGGAATGTTCTCAATGACTCCTTTCTAGTCGTAGTTTTGCTGTGGATGCCTAAGTTGTGTAGCATAGGTGCGATCCCTATTTGTTTCATTTCTTTACTGAAAAGAAGATGAACATAGCTAAAAGTCGAAATTATCATTGAATCGTGGCAAAATAGTAACTGCTGCGAGATAAAAGGAACTCGTCGTTCAAAGGACGATCAAACTCGTAGCGCTTGTCATGATACTCTAAGCGCCTTAGTATACTATGGCATCTGGTTTACAAAAGAATGAGACTAATCAATTTTTTCCATTCGTGGTGCGTTCTCTTTTAGCTTGTGAGGACATTGAAAACGCAATTTTAGGTACAATTCGCATTATCGTCAGTAAGGGCACGAACAACACAGGGAGGGGAGGGGGGGAGGGAGGGGATTTCCAAAAAAGAGGTATGTGAAACCGAACTTGCAACTCCCTATCTTTCCTACAAGATAAGGAAACTTCGTGAGCGTGGCCCTGATAAGAATTACTAGAGATTCCTCACAATACTGATATCTTTTCTATTATTAAGCTCTCCTGAACGATTCATCGAGTTAAGAGTCGCGTTAGCTTTGCGAACAAAAATTGCGTGATAGCCAACTTTGAGAAAAACCAGACAAGCACGGGTTTACAAAAAGTCAATGTATAATTGACTAAGAGAGGTTTTTTGTTGAAAATGTAGCAAATTTGACACTTTCTACATGCGGACTTCCATCCGATTGCTAACGAAGCCGTACAACTACGGTATTTGGAAAAACTGAAGGCTTCTCATATGCCAAGGGTCAAAATTTTGCTGTTAGGAACAAGCTGGTATGTGGCAGTTCATGCAGGTTTTGGCAATCTCGAAATCAATGATTTGCGCGCCTTTTTCTCGGAAGAGTCCAAAAAGTCCATACTGATAAGAAGGTGATCCATGAACTTTGGACCCGGTCTGCCTTGTCCCGTAATATACGTTGCTCATAAGGTTCTGTTCTATTCTTAGCTCATGTTCACAACACTTTTTAAGTCTTGTTTTTTGTCATGTTAAGAGACTTACATCTTGCCCTTGTGAAAATGGCACGCGGATGCACCTCATTTCCCTATCAAGTCTATAAATCCGACTGACCCTCACACTTCGAACTTTGGCGCGGTACTAGGCCTGGATATCTTCAAAGGTTATCACTCCAGTGTCTACTATATGGTTAGTGCAAAACTCGAGAAAAGGTCTCCTCTCACATCTTTGATTAGGTGTTCGGATGTTGCACTTAGAGGAAATCGCTGAATTCCATAAGATTCCGTACGCGTGCAGGAGACTTCATTTTTAGGACACCCATTGCAACCTTGATACCGTTAAAATTTCAGAATACCTCTCGATGCCTAATCGAGCTAGCCATTAGATCAGTAGTGGGACTAATGTTCAAGCCACTGTACTCCTAACTTTTTGACTGTCCAGATTGGTCGAGCAGGCGCTTCGGATTTGTTGGTGTACAGGAATGTACAGTAATCTCAACAGTGTCGCTTGCATCTGTCTGTATATTTATGTCCAGTAGAAGCTTATCATCTTCCTAATGGGCTCACAACCTTACTGGTCATAGCGATTTCTAAAACGTAATTTAGCCTCAAACCAATGTGGTGTTTCCTGAAGTAAAGATTCCATTTTAGGATGCATCTGTCAACTGGGAGGATTACAATTGCAGCTAGCTGATAGTGAAGTGAGTTTGTTCTTTTCTCATAAGATCATCACAGGCTGACTTGAGTCAAAATAGACGGGCATTTTCGTTTCCCTCCGTATTGAAAAAGAAGTTCCTGATATGGAATGCAGAGCTTCAAGCCGAGATTTCGCTCAGACATGCAAGTCAACACTGCCCTCGTTGTGTACAAAACCAGCAGAATTTTGCTTGGGATCTTCCTTTTCGAATTCTATAAATAAGCGCTATATATTGTGCAACAGATGTGTTCAGCGAAGCGCAATGACAATCGACGTCGCCGGACTCTATATTCAGTGGCTCAGGAAAATTGCAATCACGAACTTTGCTTGGCTTTCTGGATGCGCTGAATCCAGAGCTCGCTTGAAAAGTCAAAAAACCGCCTTTCATGGCGTTCGGTCTTGGGGATTGCTGGAGGGGATGGGCGAGCGATCGCCAACTGAGTCGCGACTGGTAGCCTGAGCCGATCAGCCAGTTGCCCCCAAAATGGGTGGGGCTACAGTATCCAACAGCCAATCGCTGTTTCTGGCGGGAATTCCTCGTTAAACCGCTCAGCAATTCTCCAAAGAAAACGCCGGAAAAGCGGTTTTTCAACTCAAGCGCACTCTCCGAGTCAGAGGATCCGGAAGGCCATGAGGCGCAAGAAGCTCGTTGTAACTTTCCCAAGCATTTAAGTATCACAAGAGAATACGGTAGCGCCACTAAAATCTTGTCGAGCTGTGCGTAATTCTCCCTTTCCGTCCTAAAAATGAGCGCTTCAGTGAGCAGCGATGACTAAAGGCGGTTTCGAATACAATTACTTAAAATCGCAATGAATCGCGTGTACATAACTTGAGTTCAATAACTGCAACATCATCTCTTCAAATAATCCACAAATAATGTTTCCTACAGACCTTTAGCCACCGCAGTCTAAAATCCGCGTGAAGAAGCAGCATAAGTAAAGTGCAGTTGGAGATCCATGTCCGTTAGGATTTCGTTAAAGCTCAGAACGGCTTTGTTGAAAATAGCTTGGAAGTCCTTCGTAATCGCATAAAACTGCTTCCCTATATGTGATATTTTGAACAATAAAAAAAAACTGAGAGGCTACTCTTGACCCCAGGATATCCGTCTGGGGGGAGGAGGGAACAAAAATTGTTTTCTGATGAAAGTGCGTGGCGTTCGCCACGCACTTCAAAAAAATTTTTGGTATGCTTCCCAAATTTTTCACAGGTCCATAATCCCGAACCTCCAAAAAATGGGAATTTTTTACGAAGCTAATTTAGATTTTGGAAAATTCAAAAAATTATTTCAATTATTCAAAAGAATAAGCAAGTCACTTGCACATTTTTATAACTCATAGAAGTAACTTTTAGAAATTTCGCTACAGCGCTTCCCCCCCCCCCCCCTCCCCCCAATCTCCTCGGTACGCCACTGCCGAATAGCTAGCTAGTACTTGTATTGTATCAGCATTTGTTTGGAAGCTTTTCACACTCCATCAATATCGAATGAAGCTGTTGCAATCCCATTGAAATAAGTGGCGAACAATAAGGATACACAGTCATTAACTAGTGGATGTCTGTCACAATCAGACTTTTTTTTCAGAAAGGACGCGACAACGACACTTGGAAGAGACAGCGAACGTACGCGCACCAACGAGGCATCAAGCGACCGGCCGGAAAGGTATGCCCTTGCGAGTTTTGCTGCGCGTGCCTCCAACCCCTGTTGTTCCGCTGCTATCCGAAACGTATGGCTTCTACCCTCGCTAAAATGGCTGTGCTCCAAAAAAAATTTCCTTAAAACCTAGGTTCGGATGTGGCTGGTGTCCAATAGCAGTGATAATTTTTATGGATTTTATGAACTTGGGTGTCTAGAGGCTGAAGGGTAAATGTAAATCATGAGGAAGGATTAAGCCATACCTACTGGTTTCTCATGTCTTTTCGCTCAAGAATGTCGATGGGGGCAGTACCACAAATTCGGGACATCACATATTTGCGAAAGCATTCTCTAGTCAACTCTTATGCTTGACCCTTTGACAGGAGAACATCAAAATCGCAGATGCGACCTTATGTTGAATTTGTTCTAACTCATGATTCACTGTTATCTTTTGAACAGATCAAGATTTTTGTTGTTACACGGAGGATATATATTTTGTTGTTGCACGTCTTTCGATTTATTAGCCAAATTTGTTAACGCTGCTATCTTTAGAATGTTTTGTTGGGCTCTTCTACTCAGATCACCGTCAACCTTTCCAGGTTTAGCATTTCCTAATGATTCTCCGCTCGGATTGTGTAGATTATTAACTCAACTTGAGCGAGCCACTCACTACCCACCTCGTTTAGTGTACAATAATTCAGTTTGCAAGATTTTTTCTATGTCACAGTTAAATAAACGAAACATAGCAAAAAAGTAGTGGTGCCAACCGTGCAGTATGGACGCGTAACTAACGAGGTCAAGACAAGGCTAGGTCATGAAGTCTTATTTTTACTTTATGCTAGAAATAAAGTTCAAAAAATTTAATTGAGCTTTACCGTTGTTGTAGGAAATATTGTGTTTCAATGATTTGGGATGGACTGATTGAACGGTAATTCTCTTGTTAGAGTTGTACAAGTTGCATGGGATCTGGAACTTGGAGTTCGACTGTTTCTGCGTGCTCTATATGTGTCCACTGTTCTTTGTGTACCTTCGTTACTCTATGTCGGTTCTATCAAACAACGGCTTTCATTCACGTTAAGCTTCAAATTTGAGCTCAGTTCTGTTCCTAGTTCATTACTAAATTTTGTTGTTTGCTAGACTCTTTGGTGTCTTCTGAGGAGCAGATCCCGTGCAATGAAGAGTGCTCTCAATCCCTTTACCTTTTCAACCGGTCAATTTCAAGTAGCTTCATCTTATCGCAATACAATTAGGGGGAGGCACCTTGTTTTGAGTTTCAGGACTTTTTGGAAACAGTTCAGAACACCTTAGTGTCACGTGAAAGAGCGCCGCAAAAACGGTACAAGTGGTACAAAAATGAAAAGATGTTCAATCCAAAAAGAGCATTTTGAACCCGAATGTAAACATCGCCGATTCATATTTATATGAACACCACCAGCAGAATCCTTTCTTCACTCAACACAATCTCTGCTTTTGTTATGTCCGTGCAGAACTAAAATCCGAAAGTCTGTTGTTATGCGTTGAAGTTACTGTATTAGAATAACAAAGCTTGACTTTTTTTTCCAATCGTTTAAACTGCTTCTTAACCTAGTCCGCTTCAAAATTTTTTGTTTTATTGATGTTTTGAGTCATTTGTGACACAACAGACCTTTAAGGTAGCTAATGTATTGTGCAGCAACAAAAAAGCGTTCATGTGACTGTTTCCCAGCCCAGTCCAACCTTACCATATAGTTGGCACATTTTTAGCATTAAAACTCAGCTTTTGTCTTCCACGAACACTTTTGATGAGACAATTGCTTGTCTGTACTAAAATTTTAAATCCTCCGCAAAGCTACACTTGAGACTTTTGAGAATGTAAGGAAGAAAGCTGCGTGAGGAACATCTTTACGGAAAGGCACTTATGTGGCCGAAATAAACTATCAACTAGCTCAATTTCCATTTAACAGAGCTCATATCATCTGAAACAAGATTGCCTACTTTATCATAAAATATTCGAACGTGCACATGCAGCTTTGAATGTTTTAGCTTTTTTCGTGGTGCTCGTATAAGTGTGAATCACCAAAGCGAGTTGAGCGCAAGTCTGATTTTTTGAGATTTACATTGAGCTCCATTTTTGTGCTAGACTAACCATTTATAGCTGCTATCTGCCATTTGAGACCTAATGGTTTGTTTTTTGCTTAGTTCAGTAGTCAGGTTTTTCTCAGCATAAGCAAGTGTGATCTTCAGTCTGTCGTTCATTTGGTTAGCGAGCCACATCTGAAAACCTAGGCTGATGGAGGATTCAAGGGGAACAAAGTCATTGCGAGAAGGAAGCTGTACGTACTCTCAGAAAACGTGCAAAATCTCGGGAATGTCGCGATAATCCGCGAAATTGGGCGACATCTTCTTGATATCGCGACTTCGTACTCACGCACATAACGCAGCATTGTGTGCCGCTGAAAAGCGAATCTTCTGATATATCGCATTATCGTGATAGTTCATTTACAAAGGACTTGATTTATTTTTATGCCATGATCTTTTTGTACGGTGTAGCGCAACGTATATTACACATAGAAGATAACATATGTTGAAACCATGTTTCGATAGAACACCAGCTCAGGAAATTAGCGGGCAAATATTTTTGTGGCAGACTGTTCGGTAAATTTTGGAAAATGTAGCATCTATATGATCATACACAGTAATTTAGCATGACAGTTGATCTAGATACTATGCAGTCTGTACAAGCTAAGCTTCAGCTGAACTATGGTTTTCAGCCTTTCTGCGCGTATGGGTTCAAAAACGAATTTCCGTTGGTGTCTGACTCAGTTTTCGTTATGAATAAAAGACTCTGAAAGACACATTTCGGCTAAATTATTGAATAAATTCATCTCTATCATGGCAGAGTACTGTAAATAATGTCCCTCAAGAAGTGTGAGAAAACCATTGTATCCACCCATATACTATGACCCTAGAATAGCTTGCAGAGTGCATGGTTTTCTGTGATCAGTAGGAGACAATCTCTATGAGCAAACTCTTCGGATCCACGTTATTTGAACTTTTTCTCATTTCAAGCTTCAAGCTCGCCACGGATTTCTGCGCAGAAGTTCCATCCACAGTGATATCTTAAAGAGCCGTTGCAGAGATGGTATTCGTTTTACATTGTAGTGTCTTACGATACAATTACTGCGCAACTGAAAAGCTGCGTGAGCTGCAAAAGGCTATGCTTTGCCCTGCTTTTTCCGCTTTGTCCTTACACCAAATACATTTCCTGGTATTTTTCATGCTTAGAGTCGTTGCAGACTCTCTCATTAGACATGCTAAACTATAGTTTATAGGATTTGGCAAATAGCATGCTCACAAAATTACATTTCCATGATTTTGCTTGCAAATCGAAGAGCGCGAACTGGGTTGTTTCAAAAATTCTACATTTTTTGTGCTACTTTATTTTGAGCTGCTGATTTTGGAGAAGAAAACTATTTTTCATGGAACAATGCTTATATTAGGTCGGTCTGAAAGTTTTGTCGCTCAATTTCCAAGAAATAGTAACTTTTCGCTTTCTGAAGTTTGCTTTGCTGGAATTTCATTAGAAAGAAGAATCCTTCTAAATTATAGTGTGTGTGGATGTTCTTTGTGCACTAATCCCCTCAATGTGCAAAGGTGGTGGTGATTTCAAAAAGCCCATATCCATCAAACTTCCATCTACCGTAACTCTACGATAGGAAGGTAGCCCGCGATGCGCCAGTTTTTGCAATCAGCAGATAACCTCTTAGAACGAGTTACAAAGTTAGGAAATCATCTTTTTATGAACTGGGTCATCTTTGTCGCAAGAGCATATTGAACAGGTTCTCATGAAAATGCAGTACGCGTTGCATGTTGCAGATTCGCTTGCGAAGAAGATCTCAAGGTGTCGGGTTGAAAAGTTCTGTTTGTTTTCGAAGTTCGAATTTGATTTATCATGTCTCAAAAAATATCCGTCGTACAGTAGAGTTTATCAAAGTCTACAAATCTTTCAATTTCATGCATACTCAAAAGTCAGTGCACAAACAACGAGAAAGATTTGCTAGGCAAAAATCGCCCAACATCTAGTAACCTTTACTTTAAGAGACCTTAACTTGATTTGGAAAGTGGTGGAATAGAAGCACTGTCATTTTGTAGCCGGTAATCGGCTGAGCAGTGCTGCTAAACTTGGATTATACTGAATTTCCAGAAAAAAAATTTGTAGAGAAATTTGGAAGGATCCTATTTCGCGCTTTTGAGATGCCAGAAAATGCAATTTTAGTTTTTGATTATCTTCGCCGCTGACAATTGAGAAAATTTTTTTGTTTTTTAGTAATAAATATTCTAGGCCTAATCTCAACTATGTTGGGCAAAAGCTCCGTAGTTGCAATGTGCTTGTGATTTTTAAGCAACTTATAATAACCAAAACAATAGTTATGTTCATGCTAATAAGTTAAAGGCTCCAAAGTCTAAAATTTTTTAAAAGTCATATCTCGACATTTTGTAGCACAAGTTCCCAAACAAACCTTACTTTTTTAATAAAAAAAAATTTTCGTTTCTGGCTGTAGCCTCCACGGCAGCAGAGTAAAAAGGAAGACTTGTTTTGCTTCCAAGATTCGCAATCCTGCAGTACTGTCTTAGTGAGTTTCTCCCGAAGAAGCTCAAGCCTCGATCATTTTAAGTTGAGCCGCCAAAAATTTAAAACATTGCGATAAAATCGAAATGTCAGTATGTTTCATGACCTACTCTTTCCAACTGTGAAAATGGTTCTGATACCTCCAGATATGGTAACTTACCAAATAGATGTCTGATCAGCGCATATTTTTCACGGCTGAGAAAATTAAATCGTGAACTCAATTACTGACGATTCTGGGATTTCGGATTCTGCTGCAGCGTTTCAGATTTTTGGCGGCTTAATTTGAAGCGAATCTCGGAGATTCTCAGCAACCTTGTTTGCGAGAAAGTCGCTAAGACAGTAGCACTACTAGTAAAACGCTTCCTCTTTCTGAATTTACAGCAAAGCAAATTTGTTTGAATAGAGAAAAGTTGCCATATCTTTAAAATGAAACGACAGTAATTTCGGACCTAATAAAAGCATTGCTCCATGAAAAATGTTTTTTTCCTCCAAAATCAGCAGTTCAAGATTTGTAAAAACCAGTACAACTTCTGAAACAACCCAATACGTGCTCTTCAATTTGAAAGCAAATTAACGAAAATGTGATTTTGTGAGCATGCTATTTGATAGGTTCTAAAGACTGTAAAGTGGTTTTAGCGTCTGCAACGATTTAAAGCTAAATACTAGGAAGTTTCTGGAAGATAGACAGAAAAGTATTTCGAAACTCGCACGGCTTTTCACTTGCTATATAATTGTATGCTAGACACTACAGTGCAAAACATATCTCTGTAAACACGTTTTTAGAAACTACTGATGAAACTGTTGTGCGGTAACCCGTGACAAGCTCGAAGCTTGAAACGAGATAAAACTAAAAAACTTGGATACTCCGAGGAGTTTGCTTATAAAGTTTTATCTCCTACTGATTCTAAACCAGATGCGCTTTGCGAGCTATCTGAGGTTCTTCACGATTTACAAGCCATCTTCGCTATTCTTGAGGGACATCCTTCACAATACTCGATACTGCCATGAGAACAGAACAGATTTTGCTAAACTGTGCCTTTCAGAGACCTCTATTCACAACAAAAACTGAGTTAGACTCTAACAGAAAATTGTGTGCACTAATCCATTCGCGTAAAAAAACTCAAGGCTATAGCTAGCTCGAAGTTTAGCTTATAGAAGATGCAGGGCATCGCAATCAGTTACCACGCCAAATCACTGTGTATGATCAGGTGGTTCCTGCATTATCGCCGCGCGCGGTGTGACTCCTGACCCATAGCCCTGATTGGCTTCCAGAGCTGGTGGTATCGGGACGTGTTTCATGATGTCGTACATGTACGCTGCGTGACATTGCACAAAAAGATTTATAGCACAAAAAATCAAGAAGAAACTGTTCTGTAAACGAACTATCACATTAACACGATGTGAGGGAAGATATTAAAAGCTGCCCTCAATGATGCGGAACTGTGCGTGATTTGCGTGAGGTCGCGATATTGGGAGGTGTCTCTCGATGTCGTGGACTGTCACGACATTCCTGCAAATTTTGCACGTTTTCTGAGTGGATAGTGGCGGATGAGAGGGGAGGAGGTACAAGTAGCAGGAACACGGGGGGCATACTCGTTTGGACTAAAAACAGTAAAAATTTGATCAGGCCCGCGTACTCCGCCTACATGCCTTCCCTCCCTCCTCCCTTCACATGCGTCTTCTCCCCACTCCGATTGTCACCGCTGCCACCACCACCCTTGTCCTCTCAAAGCTGACTTCACCATAGCATAGAATCTCACTGTCAATCCGTGAATGGGACGAAGCCGCCCTTTTGAACCGCAACGTTCCCACCCACGGACGACTAACAAGGACCACAACGCATGGTTGACTCTTGATGCAACCCTTCTGACACAGTGACTAGTGCAGCTGAAGATGACTGATTCACTGTAACTTTGATGTGACCTACATGACTACATTTGCCACTGTATCAGTACCGGTGTTCTAGCTCGAATGCATTCTTCTTTCGAAATAAACATTATTAATAGCTCATTGTTGCTTCCTACGCAAGCTTTGTTTCATGTGGTATTAATTCCGACAATTTCATAGGCATTCCCGCCAGTGCGACCAGTAATAGGTCCACCTTCAAAAATGCTGTGACTCACTCTTCGCCAAAAATTGGTATTATTATCACTATTACCAACCACCAAAATAGCCCTCGCTACCGTTTGGTCATTCAAAAGAAAACAAAAAATAAAAAAAGCAGGCTTCTAGGCTGGCCAAAATTGTCGATCCACCTAGAGTCTCTATGAAAGCACCAAAGAACTCTCTAACCATATTCAATGTATCAAACAGCAGTCAAGAAGCTTTGTAGCACCTACCAAAAGAAGCGATTCTCTTTTGGCTCGGATACTGTCACATGTATCAGGTTGTACATAAGTCTTGAGACACTCTCACTTCTTACGACGATAAAGTACACAGTTCACATTTTCCATAGAGGTCCAGGACACCATTCGAGAGCAAAGCAAGCTCTACAAAATGGTGTGCAAAAGTTCGCACCAACTTCGACCCGCTCTAAGTTTGCATCCAAAATCTGAGTCCTACTTACGGCTCAAAAAATCGCGAAAAATTCATATCTTTGTTCAAAAAATACGACGAATCTCCAACTTGCCCATAAAAATTGTACACCACATCATACCCATATGTACCGTTCTTGGATTTCTTCCTCATTTAGAAATTAAGAAAACGAGAATTTTCACGTTTATACAAAAACGGAGCTAGCTGTTCTCGCTCATGTAGTTGTATACCACACGCCCTTAGGAGCATAATCGTAAATTTTCAGCTTTCTACAAGCCCTAGTTTTCGAGAAATATTGATTTTAGCATGGAACACTTAAGTGAGGAGAGCTGAATTCGGTATTTTTTGAAAACTAGGGCCTGTGAAAAACTGAAAATCTACGGTTATACTGTTATACTCCTAAGGGCTTGTAGTATACAATTTCATGAGTGAAAGCAGCATAGCTCCGTTCTTACAAAAGTATGAAAATCTTCGGTTTCATCGGTTTCTAAATGAGGAAAAAAAACCAGGAATGGTACATATAAGTGTCTGATATAGTGTGCAATTGTTATGAGTAAGTTGGAGACTCGTAAGAATATGGACTCGTATTCATATCTTTTTGAACAAAGATATGAATTTTTCGCAATTTTGTGAGCCTTCAGTACGATTCACATTTTAGATGCAAACTTAGAGCGGGTCGAAGTTGATGCGAACTTGTGTAGGCCATCTTGTAGAGCTTGCTTTGCTCTATCGAATAGTTTTCTGGATCCCTATTCAAATTGTGAACTGTATGACTTATCGCCGTAGAAAGTGAGAGTCTCAGTCTCAAGACTAATGTTACAACCTAATATTGAGCTCGTGATCGCGTTTGAGTAGGGAATTCTGCAGTTTCTCAGCTGTTTCGGATGCGACGGAATTTCATCTATCTTCGGGATGCTTTGACATGAACACTGAGAAAAATATCTGACTTTGCTGTTCAAGCAGGTCTGAGATCAACGTAACCGCAAGCCTAAGTTCAAGATTCTGCCTCCAAATTCTTTTTGTGCTATCACTGTAAGCTCTAGATAAAGTAAAAGCTTTCTATTCTCAAAAGGGAATTATCCACTGTATTCACGGAGCAAAGCAAAGCCGCCTTTGGTTCGTTTCCGAAACACGAGTTGCGCATCGTTACGTTGCTGTTACGCTGTGCCGAAATACCTTACCGCAAGTGTGTTACCCCGCAAAGGTTTTTGGCAGTAATTACCCACTAGATAGTGAAAATATCTTGCATTTTATGCCAACACATAATTGTAGTCAAGGTTCTGGTCAGAGCCAGAATCAACTTCAGGCGTGTTGCAATCAATTTCTGCAGGGTACTTCAATATTTAACGTACAAGCTAGGGTCTGTAGAAATTTGTAATCATGGTATACGGAACCCGCTCGCGCAAACAATGCCTACTCTATTTCGTGCGCAAAAAACAACGCAAATTTTGAAAAGTTCAGGCTTAGGCTTGCGCTTAAGTATATATCAGGTGTGCTCAGCAGCATGTCAGATTTTTTCCAAGGAAGGCTCACGTTGCCAAGTATGTAGAAGGTGGACAGTATTCGCTTCCAAATCATCCAAGTAGCTGCAGAATTTCCTATCAACGCAGCTTTTAGGAATGAAATACATTTGGAAATATCTTCAAGCTAAAAAAGCAGTTAATCGTTGACACTTCTCAATTGTATCCATCCAACAAATCTCGGAAACTGGAAATTGTTTAATGATAAAAGCTTCACGTGGACCTATAATTTTGGCCAGCTTTCAAGCCTGCTTCTTTCGAAATTTTTGGTTTTCTCTTAAATAACCGAATAAAGGCGAGGCCCGTATTGGTAACTGGCAGTAGGCCGGTAAGCACAAAACTCTACCAAATCTTGGATCAATTCATTGACAACAGAGTGAGCTACGGCATTTTTTGAGGTGGACCTATAACTTTGAACAGCACTGTATCTGCCAAATGTCAGGTTGATACGCAAGTTCTGTTGCATCTTCAGAAACTCATAACTTTTCGCTCTGACCAACTTGCGCTCACTTTTGATTTCGTTCAGTAGGGTAGATTATGTTCTCCATAATGGTGTCTCAGAGGTTGTCTAATGAGTACTTACTGCATGGGTGGCAGCCATTGAAGAATCGAGCTTTGATTTTGTGTTTGATATTGAAAATTCAAATCTTGCAATAAAAATTAGGCACTGAGAATTTGGTTTTATCGCCTGCTCTTTCTGACTTAGCAAAGTTTGTGCTGATTGCACGTTTCCCAGCAAAGATCTCCCGGAAGAGTAAAAAAATTGGATTTGCCTCTACTGGTTCAATTACCATAAGCTAAAGCATACAAATGGCACAAACTTTGCTCATTGACAAAGCGCAGTTGAAAAAATCTATTAAATTAGGTTGTTACATAAGTCTTTTCATTTTTGGGTTTTCACTGTGATAAGTCATGCACTTCTAATTCTAAACAGCCATCATGATACCATTCGATAGAGCAAAGCAAGCTCTATAAGATGGTGCTTATGCTTTTGCACCAACTTCAATTCACCTCAAGTTTGAGACCAAAATCCATAAAGTTTTGGATGCCCAAAAAACTGAAAATTTTTTTTATACCTTCGTTGAAAAAGTCCTACAGATCTCTCCCTCGCTTATGCATGTACATTCCCTATCAGACACTCATATGTGCTATTGCTGTATTTTTTATTGGCTAGAAATCAAGAAAACGAAAATTCCATGTTTTTGTTTTTTACACCGTAGATTTTTGGTTTTCTGTAAGCTCTAGTGCCCGAGAAATATCGAACTTAGCTTTCCCTACTCGAATTTTTCACGCTCAACTCAACATTCTGCGGAAACCAGAACTTATAGAGAGCTAAAAATTTACGGTTGTACTTCTAAGAGCTGGTAGATACAACCGTTAATGTAAGAACAGCACAGCATAACTTTGGTAAAAACATGAAATTTTCGTTTTCTTGATTTCTAGCCTAAAAAATGCAGCAAGAGCACATATGAGTGCCTGATAAGGAATGTATATGCATAAGCGAAGAAGAGATCTGTAGGACTTTTTTGAACGAAGATATAATAAATTTTCGATTTTCTGGGCATCCTAAACTTTCTAGATTCTGTTTTGAACTTGAGGTGGATTAAAGCTGGTGCAAAAGCATAAGCGCCATCTTATAGAGCTTGCTTTGCTCTATCGAATATTATCATGATGGCTGTTTAGAATTAGAAGTGTATGATTTATCACAGAAAACACAAAAATGAAAAGACTTATGGGACAACCTAATACAACTGCTTCGGTCATTATTGAAAGCTTCCGACATTTCATTCAACACATGAAAATCGAAACTTAAGTGATTTCTTTTCCCGCTTCGATTTCAAAACTGATGTTTGAAAAGTATCTGGCATCAACTACTCCATATCCGAATTCTTGCACTTTTTGTTCTTATCGCTAAACTTGAAGACAACTGAATTGATAAAATTTCCGAAGATGTCGCAAACAATGTAAAAGTAACACCTTTTCCGCGTCTTGTCTCTTCGAAGAGGCGGAAAGGCGTTATCTTATTTATCGTATATACTCTAACGCTGAAAAAACGCTTTTGTTTTCCTACTACCCAATGTCCCAACTCTTTTTCTTTACATACAACACTAGGTTGCTATCAAGGATTTTTTGAAGGCGCAAAACAGCAAACAACAACCTTAAAAAAATATATAGCTTCAAAATTTTTGGAAGTCTTGTTTGATTGGGCATTTGTGGCACAAAACTTTTGCTATCATTGTACTGTTTCCAAAAACTTCGTTCTTCCAAAGTCTTTGAACAATAAAGTAAAAAATTTGAGACTGAATTTTTTGAGGAAAAATCTAAAAGTAAACATCTTGCTTCTCACTGTGTTCGAAACAAACTAACTTCTACGAAATCAAAAGCATATCTGAGTAACTACAAGAGAGGGTATACAAAGTCATTTGGTATACAAAGTTCTTTTAAAGAAAAATTT